CATACAGCGATCATGTTCAATACAACTTGCCACTTACACTCGCCAGCTAGCTACAACCGTCTGGCTATGTATCCATTTTCCATATCTTAGCACCACGTCGCGACAAACGATTCGTCGAGGTTGCAGTTGCGCGTCTTGCTGTCGTTGGAGGGCCACAAGTATGCGGCGGGGCATTGCTCCCACGTGCATTCGATGGAGGCGCAGTTGTATTGATGGTTGTTGGCCAGGTATTGCACGTCGACCTTCAACTTGACGTTGAACCCCTTCACCGTGCCGCCCTTCGAGCACTCTTCCCAGCTAGTGCCGTGGCCACACTATGTATGTACGTACACACCCACGATGTCAGGTCGTTGCGGCGCACACATCATCACACACTTACGTTGGGGGGGATGACGCTGATGTCGTACCAGAACTTGCCGTCATTGCGGCAAACTTCAAACACTACGTATCTCCAAAATGAGATATACAATCGTAACATAATTTAACACGACACGTACAGGTCGCTTCGGGGGATCGACCCACACGAATGGTCGCGATGCGGTAATTGCCAAGCAAATCGTACCATTGGCCCGGCTGCACCATCACGAATTGGTCTTTGTTGTCGAGGGAAATCATGAGTTCAATGGGATAGCCACAGTTGTTGACGTTGCGGATACTTCCTTTGACGAGGGCGGGGGTTGGCGCTGGGGTGGGTGCAGGCGTAGGAGGTGGGGTGGGTGCAGGCGTGGGGGCTGGGGTAGGTTCCGGCGTAGGTTCCGGCGTAGGTTCCGGCGTAGGTTGAAGCGTTGTCGTCGGTGTCGGCGATACGATGATCAACGATTCAACGTCGCTAGAGTTCGTTGTGGCCGTGATATTGTTGGCCAAGGTAAAGTTGCCAGTGCTGGTAAGATCACTAGCCGTCACGTCCACTTCAGACACAACCGCCCCGCCAGTCGACCCGACCAAGAGTTCGCCGCTGCCTCCGGCGATCGTCGAAGGGGTCGACACGGGGGCAATCGTCGTGGAGGACGACGACACGCCACTGGCTTGGGATGCATCGGCGGTCTCAGTGGACGTGGCTACGATGACCCCGATGGCGGTACCCACGACCACAAGGGCGGCGGCGAAGACGATCAGGATATTCTTGCGATTTCCTTGCAGGAATGACGCTTCGTACTCGTCCGTGTCCTTTTCCGCCATCGACCGTGACGGCACCCAGTCCGTTTCGCGCCAAACGGTCATGGCCGTGGGCGGCACGGGCGTGACGGCGTCGTCGGCTGTCGTCGTAGTGGTCATAAGTGTAAGTTACCGTGAGGCAAACGTAGAAATGCTTCAGCAGCACCATGCTGCCATGTAAAAACCACCACGTCTTCTATGAGTAACAAGACTAACCCTGACAAACGTTCAACTAATCTGAATGTACCCTTCAGCCAAGACTGAAAACCGTGCGAGTCAACAAATAACTGAAACTGGCACTTCCACAACATCGCATATGGGCGCGGCTGTTACATATTATTATTAACTTGAATATCTTTATGCTGATATTTGTATTTACAGTGTTAGTGTACATATGTTTATTTATCCCTATAATTATTTACGTTTTGCAAAACGATTTATGCATCCCTGCAGATTGTGCATGCGTACATGCGGGAAAGGCACTATGTAGGTCAGCGATACTGCACAACGGGTCACGAAACTCTCTATTTTGCATAACAACAACCATTACTATCAACATCACTTTGTTGCATGTCGCCTGAATCAACAGCTGTAGAGAAAGACAACTTCGAACTTGCCAAATTCGTGATACAGTATTTCAAGAACATGCGGGTAAGATGCCTCATGCCAGTGAGAGCTGTGTATGCACAGACCTGCTAGCTAGTACTCCGGAGTAATGGACTACGAAGTACCTTGTAATAGTACTGTAGTGGATCGCGAAACATCCGGATAATTAACCGGAACTAAGTAGGCAGGCTTACTCCTGATCGTTCCGGATAAAATGTTTCGCGATTGTTTCGTGATCATCATTCTCTCTATATTATTAGACCTTAGTAACAGTAAGTGCGTTCATGATATGAGACAAATCGCAATTGTAAAGAACCATACAGAATTCCAATATAACTCATCACTTGGTGATAGACTTAAGTACTGATCAATTACATGGTGTCTGATTTGATGTATGCTCACATTCCACTTGACTAGGTGATTAATTGAGCATTGCACTTGCTGATTCTTCATGCCTTTGCTTGACGATTTACCAAGCCCTCTAAAATGTTATCCAGTCTTGTGCTCGTTTCGTGTCAAAGCAATGCAAATCACAACGATAGACCAGTCGTACTGGATGAACCATGAGTTCACTTGAACATGTGAGGAATATCTACTCATCTGCAAGACGAGTAACAACAGAATTCCAAGGACGCCAGCCAGTTCGCAAGTACAGTGTACTTCAAACCCCCAAAAATAGGTGCAT